CCATCGACGACACCCGTCAATTGTTTCGAACCCGGAGAGCAGTTGGCACAGTCATGATATGGCAGAATAGTTTTCAAACAAATTAAATGACATTTCGTCTCTATTTCTGGTTATATACTCGATGAGTTACTTACATTGGGATCAGAGCAATGTACGTGATGTTATCTAATATTTATTTATTTTGTTGATCTTCGTATTTATAGTAATAAAAATTAGAATTTGTTGAAATTAATTTTAAATTGTCATTAATGCACAATTATGTTGTAGAATTTTTTGGCACTATTTAGAGTTTGGTGTTGTAAGCAGAACATGGGTATTTACTTATAGAACACCTTCTTCAACACTTAAAGAACACTTGTACATAATTCATAGACAATACAAGAACACTCAAGACAATGTTTTGTTTAGACTTTAATTCCGGGGTGAATAGTTTGATAACGTTCGCGACATTGAAGTGACTTTGTAAGTTTGATCTTTACTCCTGATCGACTAGATGTTTTGATTTAAGGACTGTAATATGATATCAATCTGAATATCAGCAAAATAATAATAATAATAACTATTTTATTTAAAAAAACTGACCTTAAAAGTTTGTGGAACTACATCTTTTTGTAGTTTTTTTTTAAATCGGTTCATGGAAAGTGCATCCAATAAACCGTATTCGTCCCCTAATATTCCACCCTTAGAGGTAGATATTTTCTACAAATGTGAATCGGACTACTACTGAGGGATCCTTCCATGAAACTCAGTCGATCATATTCATTTTTATGGGCAACTCACGCTTGACCAAAAAATTACTATGTCAAAATTGTTCTCACAAAAAATACTCCAATGTTTTTAAGACAGTTTCTCTGTAACTCCCGTGGTTTTAGATTTCCCCATAATGTCGCAGTTAAAAAAATATACACTGTATATAGGTTTTTCTTGATATAATTTCCTAAAAGAAGATCTCTTATTTAACTATTAACTCTGCAATTTAACTATATGGGCGGTTGTTGAATATTTATTTATTATTTATTTAAACACTTTATTGTACCACAAAGTAAATTACAAATTTTCAGAAACAATTTAAAATATTTGTGTACAAAGACGAGCTTATCCCATAAAGAGATTTCTTCCAACTAACCCTTGAAAATTTGAGAGAAAAGTTGGTTTTTGGGGTGGCACTAAAAATAAATAAATAAAGAAATTGAACGCTACTGTACCCAATAAATTAACAGATAAATTTATTATATCAAATGTACATACGAATAAATATATATTAAGTAATGTTGATACACTAATACAGACAAAATCTGTAGCAAAATGAATGCATAAAATAAAACTATAAATAAATATATCAAATGTAGATAAATATTTCATAAGCTCTAATAGGTATGCGGAGTCTGAACAATTCCAAAACTTCATATGAGCAACCTTGAACCTCGACCGGGCGAAGGTTCCACATACGGGCAGCATTTATTGTGAACGAGTCCGAATAGTTTTGGGAACTCTGTTGTGGAAGGACGAGGGACAAATTGGTGCCAGAAATATATTTTGTCCGTATATTTTGTAGAATACTACTACCGTGAGACCCAGATATATTGACTAAACTAAGTCTACTATTACTAATTTTTAGTAGCAGTAGAGCTCCTTGTGAAAGAGTTCGTCCAGATAAGTACTGCCACCTTACCTATTTCTGCCGCCAAGCGGTAATGTGTGCATTGTGTATTATTGGTAAGTATTTTGTACCACCGCTTTATAGTATATTGCGATAAATAAAATTTACTTATCTATAAATTTGTAAGAAAATACAGACGCTTATTAGGAATCAATCAGTTACTGAGCTCATTTACAGAAATTTCACATTGTTGGCTTCGGTACACACAATATTATGGCAATAAACGTTTTTATTACACATACACTGTACACTGTATCGCATGTGCAAGAAGAACACATGCGATACAGTGTGGTGGTGTCCGTTTTGATTTCGATATTTTCTGATGTTCTATGATCACAGTTAGGAACTCAATTAGAAAGTGTCTATTGTGTTAACTATACGACAACTTTGTTGAGTTTTCTTAAAATACTTGAAATTTAGAGTTACTGTCACTTATTTAATATTTTGATAGTTATTCAGTTATTTTGACTTGTTTTGCATGTTGTGTTCACATCAAGTAGGATACATTCTTATCGTGTCACTATATAAATCAAATACTTGTAAATTATATCTGAATAGTATCCAGTTTTGTGAACCGAATAAAAAAATATAAAATAAATAATAATAAATAAAATAACCTCTCACAATAAAAAATACAGAACAGGACCATATTTACAAACAAATTGAAAATACTCTTATTACCGAATTGTTTTTATATTTTTTTAAAACAAGAGTTTTTCGTTATAAAGTGGTAAGCGACACACCTGTTCATAACAGTTGCAGTGGCACTCAGAATTTTAAATTACAAAGATCTGAGGAACACTGCCACTACGCCTGTCATTCTGAGACGAGAAGTTAACAAGTCCCATGTGCCTGTAATATCACCAGTACTCTTATCCATCAAAACCGGAACGCAGTAATGCCCACATTACTACTTGACGGTAGAAATACATACGGTGGCAGTACTTCCCTGGACGAACTCTTTCACAAGGAGCTCTATTGCTACTAAATACACATACATGTACTTAGTAAAGTTGCAGTGCCCTTACAGGGCTTAATTTGGATCACATAATAACTTTAAGACCCTCTTCTGTACCATATAATGCAATTTGAGGGAAACCCAATGACTATTAAGTTAATTTTATAGAAAAAAAAATCTTTACTTGGATAAGTTAATCCACCAGGTTACTACCACCTGTCCTGAACTCGCCAAGGTCCGCAAGATATGCCACTAGTTCACCTTGTTGGAAGTGGCACAGAAAATTGTGTCAGACTATTTACAAGCAATACTTTCCACAAGTCTTCATCAACGCAGTTTTAATAAACACATTTTGTCATATTTTTTTTATAACAACATGATGTTTTACTACTATATTTGTAAAAATGCTCCGTTAGTTTGTTATTATTATTGATACAAAAATCGACCAAATAAAAAAAATTGTACTTTGTACCGACTGCTTCGAACCAGCGTCTGTCTCCTCAACGTGGCTGTCGCTCTTAACAGCTGAGCTACGGATTGAACAAGCAGATCTTATGATTTTTTTCTATGTGCTTGTTGAGGACCGTTGCATTCGGTTTAAGTCTTTATTTGCGCTACATGCCACCTGTTAGAAGTTACAAAAGTTTCTCCACACAGCGTTTTTTCAGTTAAAGAAAACATTTTCTAATAAGTGAAACTATTAAACTAATAACTGTATTTTTATGTAACATTCAAATTAAGTTTTATCGTATTAAAAAAGCGAAAAGTTTAAAAAAAAGTAGTGTTATTGATTTTAAAAATTAATTTAAGTGTTACATTAAAAAATACAAACAACAATTTAAATGTCTATTTTTCTTTAAGTTTATACTTAATACATTCGTCAATCCCGGTATCACGGGATTTTTTAACGGACTTCAAAAAAAGGAGGAGGTCTCAATTCGACTGTATGTTTTTTTCGTTACGCGATAACTCCGGCTTTTGTGAACCAATTTAAATGATTCTTTTTTTGTTGGAAAGAGGGTACCTGCCTACCTAGTCCCATTTAAATTTGAAAAACATATTCCACATCGTCGATGAATGACTTTTGAGGTCGGTTTTTTTGGTACTCTGCACTGAGATTGTTCGATACCAAAGTGCGTTACACGTTAACGAGCAACCGAATTGTAGATAAGTAAGCATCTGATTATCGAATCACTAACACGATCACCAACTGAAATATGTCTGTATCTTTTTATTATACCCTGTATGTACAATTAGTTATTGGGTGGTCGAATACAGTGTAGTATGGCATATGTATGACTTAATGTGCTCTGTGCGGGTAACATTGCAATTTTAATCATAAGAATTAAATTTCAAAATTGTCACGATGAAATACAAGAAGGAATTCTAAAGGATATACATTTAATAGAACGGAGTTGTAGATACCAGTCTTTAGATACAAGTTTTTTTTTATTATAACGCACCCTATAATAAGGCCACATCTACAAAATGACAACTACTCAGGAGAGAGGTGTAAGAGTCAATACTATGTCAGTCCGAATTCAATTTTTTCCCATACTAATACGATTAATTTTCCTTAGGTCGAGTGGCAGGGACACTGGTTTTATTTCAGATTTCTTTTTTTTTTACAGACGAAATTAAAGCCCTTTGAAAGATGTATATCGTATAGTATACGTGTTCTATTTAGTTGATATAAAAAAAATCATTGGTATATGTAGACTACCTACTGAGTACGGGTTTTCTTGTAAAGTTTCTGGTAAGTTTGTGTTTTTTTCTATCGTGAAAGTTTTTAGGGATCGTGTTTTCACACCATATAGTAACCAGTGCATATCCTCAATTTTACTATATATTTTTTCCAAAGTGATTTATTCAACATTTTGACTCTTAAGCGTAATCAACCAAAGACATTTAAGGTAGTATAGATTCTTTAATGATTCTACGATCGTCGATAAAAAGAAGAAGACTCGATGACATTTTATGATTTCATATTTATGTGGTCTGTGGATTTCACATGCATAATTTGTTTCATGTAGTTCGTATCACTTTTATGACTTTCATTTGAAAAAACACTTTTGAAATATGATCACTTATGATTCCAAATACCATATACATATACCAAGGGTAATATAAAGTTTGAGCTAATTTGTGGTCATGACCCTTCTAAAGCGAATAGCCAAATTCAGCATTACATCATAAAAACCAAAAAAATTTTGGATATTTTTTTCTCATCAAATTGTTTTACTTATGAAGTTATAGAAATATATTTAATAAGACTCTAAGCAAGCTTGTGCCCTTGACTTCGAATTATGAATCATCTTTCTGCATTTTTTGGGACGTATCGAAAACAAAAAATACCCTTTAAAAAAATTAAAAATTACTTACCGTAAAGTGGCCCGACCATTATTAGATATAAAACAAGCACAAGAAATATTTGTGTTCTCCCCATAAACGCTCTTGGCTTCAAGGTAACGAGCACTGTATTTACTACGAGTCCAAACACTTCACGTATTTTTGTGCACACTACATTTTTTCCTTCATATTCACTAGACCTTGGTTCTTCAACAGCACAAACGTCTTCTAGTCTAAATAAACCATATAAAAAGACAATGATATGCAATCCTAGTACTAAGGAAAACATACCATAGTATCCTAATGCACGCAACAACACGCCACTCATTGCGGTCCCCAAAGGATTTCCTAAGGATATACACATACCAGCAAGTCCTAAACGATACGTTCTATTTGCTAGAGTAGTTCTGTCTGTTAAAAAAGCGTACATTCCCATAAATACAATTATGTAGCTTCCAGATAATGCAGCTGGTAAGGCTTCCAATAGCGCTGTTCCAAACAGAGACAGTTCATAAAAAAAATAAGTAGCTAACAGCAATCCAATGTTCACCAATATTTCACCAAAGATAGGGCTAAGGACACAAATTTTTCGTTTTCTCGTCTTATCACTCCATGCTCCAACGAATAACACCATCACAGCCGGTATAGCAGTCTGAAGGGGAAATTTCCAAGCTACAACTTTAGCAACTAAACTTTGAACTTGATTCAATTCATATTCAAGTCCAGTAGTGTTCCGATCTCTGATTCTGTTGCATATTTCGTCTCCGAATTGGTAATTTACTCTGCATGACTTTTCCAAATGCATATTCTGAACAGTCAACGAGGATAGCTGGATACAGAAGTAGTAAATAAAAACACATGGTTCCACTGTGATTTCTTTGAAGAAATTCTTGATTCGTTTTATAAAAGCCTTGGACTGTTCCCGCCATGAGTGGTTGATGCGCTCTGTGAGACGTATGTTCGAGTCGGTAAGATCGTTGGTACTGGTGTTTTCAGTCATGTTCCGCACAAAAAGTAAGAGTTAGTAAAAGTATCACTTAGGTAATGTTTTTATCACAGCTCTCGCACGATACTGGACTCGTATGCATCGCCGTCGTAGTTAATATGACTTTTCGAATGTTGTTTCCAAATACCTGAGCTGTAAATGTCAGGATGTAAAATGAGGAGCTATACCGCGCGGGCGCAAGTGAAGCGCGCGCATCTCAACTCTGTCGATAACAGAGGTATCTGCCTCGGTAATGATAGTTTTATTAAATGACTTATTTATCTTATGCAACATAGGTTGCGCGTCATTTACGTTGTTGCAAGATTATTGAATGACTTTTTCAACAATTATTCAATAATTAATATCTTTTTGTTTATATTTATTATCTCGTTCAATAAATAACTCACTTCACCGTATTTGTACACTTATGGTTACGTTTGTTGTAGAGCTGTGTAATGTTTTAGATAATATAAAAAGGATATAATTTTCCTGAATGTTTGTAAATATTTAGTTATTCGAGATATCCTATTACACCAAAACGCTGCATTATCTACATGCCGACACTGCTGTACATACAAATTAACAAGACAATAAGGCCACATGACGTATACATCTTTACTTTATCATTGTTACGAGAGAGAGAAACACATGGTTTTGGTAGGCAATTTTTATTTGGAAATATGAAGATTAATCAATGTCTGTGAAACAAGTGAGGTTTGTAAGGATTGTGTAAAGTGGCGATCGGTATATAGCATAATTAACCGACAAAAAAGGAAGAGGTTCTCAATTCGACACAGTCGAAAAATGTATTATTTTGAGAATTGTATTTTTTTATGTATGTTACGCGATAACTCCGGCTTCTTTGTGTATTGATTTTGATGATTACTGTTTTGTTGTAAAGAGGGTACCTCATGAGTGGTCCCATTTCAATTTGAAGAAAATATTCCATCTGTAAGAGTGGCAAACTAGGGGGTGAATAATTGTATCTCTCAGTATTGAGATTATGATATGAGTGTTTCAATGAAAATCCAGAAGCGTGACTATATGTATGGGTTTCTTATTATCTTTGAGAATATTACGACAATACTACTTTTTTGTTAAGTAAATCGGTATATTCTTATGAATTTTCTTATTTTATGGTGTTGCGACGTTACTGAAACTTATATTTTTCTTCTGGTATAAAAATAACAGAAGCAACAACGACCCAGACAACTCGGCTGGCGGGACAAATGTTTTGAAAATCATGTTTTAACGGAATATACCTCAGATAGTAAGTACTCACTGTGGTACTCACGGTGGTGACAGCCGCTTCAAAATTCTATAATTTATCAGATGTTTGGAAACTTCAAAATCTAGTAAGGCACACCTAGTCTGGTCCGTGACCAGCCAAAGTCACTTTAACCAATTCAAACCATAGCAAGCATTTGACTCTTGCTAGGTTTTAAAGTGCCTCCAAGGTCTAGTGGATAGTGGAACTTGACTGATACTGAAAATATTATATAACGTTTAATTTAATTATTAAAAAAAATCTCGTTTATTTCAAATTGTCTAATGCAATAACTAAACCTAATGCCTAGCAAATGCTTCTATTGTGTTTTTATTCTGACTGCTATAGTAACTTTACTTATGAAATACGTCCATATGGTGTTAATAGGTACTTACAAGTATGTTAGTATAAAGCTTCCACATTTATATAGCGAGCGGCTAGGGAGTGGAATTCCCTGCCTGCGGACGTATTCCCCAAACTATAACTTGAACCTTTTCAAGGCGAGAGTGAATAGGTATTACTTACATGTGCATGAAAGCAAAGTGTTCATTTTCATGAACAAGGATGGACATCCACTACTTAAAGATTTGGCTGTCCATCCTCTCTGTTACCAACTTAAGAAGACTGTAGGTGCTGCCTTTCAATCTGGCCAACGGGGTTTCCACTCTTTTGCAAACGACTGCCTGAAAACTATCAATTCTAGCCTCCGCGAACATTTCTGAGGCACTACAGTGTCGAGGCAGACCCAGCAGTCCCCCGAGGGCGTTGTTGAATTGGACACGTTATGTACATAAATATTGAAAGTTAGTAAGGGTATAAAATGTGTAATATATCAAAATGTGATCGTGATCATTTTTGTGACATCAAATATTCGTTGATTGATACCGAACCTAATCCTTTTACATTTTTACATTAAAGTTTAAGGGCGAACTTGATTTGTGTTTTTAGGCTCTCCTATAAAATTTTGTGTTAAACACTTACTAAACTTTGTTATAGGGCAACCGACTACACCAATTTACTTCATCTTAAACTAGGAAATCCCTGTAGACTCTGAGAACTAGAGCATCAAAATTAACGTCAAAGGCACCACCAAGAACACCTACACCAGAAGTAATTTAGAAATGTCCATGTTCTAAATTGGTCTGTGAGTTTTCGAGATTGGTTCTTCACATCTATTGCCTGCAGTGCTAACTGATCGGTCACCAAAGTGGCATGTTAACAATACTAATGAGTATTTAATGATGAGGTTTATTAATTTATTGAATGCTCTCTGATGAAAACAAGGACATTGAAAGTAACTGGTAAAGATTTAGTACCTATGGAACTACAAAAAATTCAGAGAAAAAAATAAAGAAAATATATAAGTATCATTTGATGTATTACGAACATTTTATAATGTTGTGCCAGACAACCACACTGATTGCGTGCTTGCAAACTACGGAATTCCCTGTACTATGAGTACCAGAGCACCGGAAATCAATCTGAGGCACTTTCCTGAACACCCAGACCAGAACCAATTTAGAAAAGTTCATTTCCCAAATTTGTCCCACCGGGAATCGAACCCAGAACCTCCTCATCCAGTGTCCACAGTGTATACCAGCCCCCGAGGTCGTCAAATGCATATACTTCACGACCTTTCCCTACCAGGTTAGGCAGAGACAAAAGCCTTCCACTTACACTTGTAATTCTGACACAACTTTCGCTTCATCAACATGCATCAGTGTGTTCATACAATACTCGTCGGTTAAGAATATTCTCGACCTGATCTTGACATCTTTAATTTGGTCAAGGTAAGTTTTTTTTTAATTTAAATTAGTAGCAGTCGAACTCTTTCTGAACGAGTTCATCCATGTCTCTGGGTGACGGGCTCAATGGCACTGCCCCTCAGATCTAGACGATTTAAGCGTGAAATACACAGAAAGCGGGTGCTAGTCGGGCGCGTGTCGGGTCGGGAGCGCGCCGGCTCTAATTCCGTGTATTTATATGGACGGCAACACAGCACACGTGGGCGCGGAATTAGATCCGCCACGCTCCCGACACGACACGCGCCAGACACGCACCCGTTTCACGCTTTAAAGCTCTGAGTGGCACTGCAACTGCTATGGACAGGCGTGTCGCTTACCACCAGGCGAACGACTTGTTCGTCCCGTTGCTTGGTCTCATAATTTAAATACATTTTGTAAAGGTTATTAACTGAACACATGCAGCTTAAAGTAAGAATATTATGCTATGGTACGGTCGATTATCAATACTTCCGAACATTTTGATTGGTTTTTTTTTTAAGTGTTCGTTAGTTTTACGGTCACTCGATATTATGTTGCTCAAGAACGAGTTTACGATTACGGCAATGATTTTTTAATTCATGGATACGTACGAAAGGCAATGTGTATGCGTGGAGGTATATCACTATGGTTTTAATTTAAAATCATGTGTACTGAAATTAGCATTTATCTGGATGGCCCAGCTCTTAACATTTGGATCAAAATATGACGGGGACCTGTATACTTTTTAAAAGCATGCTTATTAATTTTTAAAATGTACGTAATTTCCAAAATAGTTTTCATGAATAACGTTAGTGACAAGGAAAACTATTTATTATTCGATCTATCTGTCTGCGTGGTGACTGCGAGTAACTGCCTCGGTGGCCGAACGGTTACCATGCCGCACGACTACCGACTACCACGCAGAGGTCCCAGGTTTCGATTCTTAGGCCAAAAGAAATATTTGTATGGCCTACATTTATTTCTCTCGTGAGTTTGGGTGTAATTTGTGGTTGTGTATATGTGTGTCCATGGCACCCGCGACACAGGGTTTCCCTAGTGCGGGACTATTTTGAGTGTGTGTGTAAAAAAAATAGAATATTGTAAAAACAACTAAAAGATATTTACTTAACACAAAATGAGACACGCTTTATGTGAGCTAGTTCTGGCCATAAGAGTCCTTATTTAAAAATAGAAAATTATTTTTTCTCTTTTATTTTAAAATATATTTGGCAAGTTAGGAAATTGTCTGTTATAGCCTATACATACATTTTAATTATCTTTCACGAGAAGCAAATAATTCGTTTTTCGTCGATTCTGAGAAAATACATATTTTTAGTTAATACACTATTGTATTAACAGTGCGATATATCTCAGAGTGATTACACGCGGTGAGTTTTGCTGTGATACAAACGCCCGTTTGTGATACGCGCGATTATATCGCGACACCAGGGATTATTTGGTGGTTGCATGATGCCAACGCGCGAATGCATCGCTGGCAGTCCCTCATGTAGAATTATTTAAAAGCGGCTACATATCGGCATATATTGATAGCCTTTTTTTAATTGACTTACTCTTGACTACCTAGCCCTTGAGCGAAAATGAGCTTGTCCAGAAAATTCCTATTTCATTGTACTTTAAATTGGGTTGTATATGCTCGGAAAACCGGATGCAGACAGGGTTAATTCCCTGTCTGCATCTGGCCTCAGACCTTTACGAGATTTCATAAATTAATTTAACTTTGAATACCAATGTTGGGTTTGGCAGAACGTAAAATTATTGCAGTGGAAATAAAAGCTTTGAGAAGTGTGGCTGGAGTGACTCTAATGGATAAATTACGGAACAGTGTGATAACAAAGCCTTGCAGCATGAAAGGTAATGAAGTGACAAAGATAAAGAAAAAGATTCTTAGATAAATAAAAATAAATAAAATAAAATAAATAACGCACACACTCAACATAGCCCCGCACTAGGGAAACCCTGTGTCGCAGGTGCCATGGACACACTTATACACAACCACAAATTACACCCAAACTCACGAGAAAAATAAATGTACGCCATACAAACATTTCTCCCGGCCCGGGAATCGAACCTGGGACTTCTGCGTGGCAGTCCGGCATGGTAACCGTTCGGCCACGGAGGCAGTTAGATGGTTCGGTTATGTCTCTACATCTGTATCTGTTTCGTCAATTCGTCGTGTGTGTGATCTGTTTCGTCAATCCTTTTTTATTCATTCTCTCTAGAATGAATAAAAAAGCATTGACGAAACAGATCTATAATGCGTGTTTAATAGAGTGAGCGGGCAAGTCGGCAAGGGCGACCAAAACAAATTTACTTTGATCATATTTTCCTAAAGAAGCCTTTCAAGAGTACTCTTAACCGACGAGCATGTGTGGAAGCATTGATGCGTATTGATGAGGCGAAGTATGTGTGTCAGTCTGACAGTTAAAAGTACTCTTGACCTGGCCTGTCTTGACATCTTCAATGTGATCATGGTAAATTTGCTTTGGTCGGCCCTTGCCGATTTACCCGCTCACTCTTGCCTTATAGATCTGTTTCGTCAATCCTGTTTTATTCATTCTCTCTATATGTCCAAACTCTCTAAGCATCATGTCAGGATCATAGCATGTGGTAGTAGAAAAATTACTTGTGAAATAGTTCGTCCAAGGAAGTACTAGCACCTTACAAATTTCTGCCGCCGAGCGGTAATGTGAGCATTACTACGTTCCGATTTGGAAAACTAAGGGTGCTGGTGAAATTACAGGCACATGGGACTTGCCAACTTGTATCTATGGATGACGGGCGCAGTGGCAACGCCTTATAAATCTTTGCAATTTAAAGCTCTGAGTGGCACTGCAACTGTTATGAGTAGGCGAGTCGCTTACCACGCAGGTGCTCGTCCTGACACTTGATGTCATAAAAAAAATGTGACAGGCTGTTGTCTTTGCCTAGCCCGGTGGGAAATAGGGGTGAAGTATATGTATGTATGTTTAAATACCAAATTTTCCAGTATCGTTTTCATTCATTACAATAACTACTACCGGCTGAAATTAAATGACGTGTCTTGGAATTAAATTCCTCAAAGGACAATAAATTTTGCCTTTATAACAATGATTCACATACAGTTGACACTTATTATCGACCACTCCAAGTGAAAGTTAAGGTTTTAAGCAGCTTTCCAGTTTTGTTACTTTATTTTGGACCTTTATTGAAGTATAAATGCAATGTAATATATAAAACGGATTCATAATATGTAAAAGGCAGCAATCTATATTATTTTGTGATATTATTATGAAACTAAAAAGCTCATAATAAAACACAAAACTTTATGGTAAGTATGGCTATACCAAAAAAATACAAGATCGTCTAATGTAAGTAATTTATATACATTGTAATATATATTAAATATTATTATTATAAAGTTTTTTATTAAAAAAACAATGGGCATCTGTCCAATAATCATCTGATCCGTCGACTAATCTTGTGGCAAGAATTTTGATGGGACCTTCATTTTCTTATTAAAACGTCACGTCGATTACTATTTAAATTATATAGTGATATACACTGACCTATAAGTCAATGGTTATATAGGTATTTTTGAGGTGAGTACTGTATACCTCTACTATGTTATTAATTTTATAGGAAGTGTTTTATAATAAATGTACTTTTTTTCATATCATTTTATTATTTGTTACAGCATGCCTTATTCTCCTTTATCATCTCAATTACAATAAATCTTGTGGACCAAACATCCTGCATTGGTTCTCCTTTCTCTAACGCTAGGCTACAAGCTTAAGGGCCACGCATAGCAGCTAACGGCGGAGACAGCATCGAAGAGGATTTTGCGCTCGCCATCCTATATCGATGAGGAGATTCCCACACCGAGGAGGAGATTCCCAACGACATATCGATACGGCTCTCATGCCGACGCATTACGTGGCCATACCAACGTAATCGGATCCTTGACATCATTTTTTTTCTGTGTGGGATGGCGGGCGATATTATACTGCGAGCGTTTGACAGCGTACCGCAGAGTCCGCTGGATCGCATGTCGGTGGATGCTGGCGCATACCGGTGGATGCCGGCGAATACCGGTGGATTCCGGTATACAAATTTATACAATGATAAATTTAATGTCGTCTGCCTTCCCGTCCGCCGCTTTGCGCTGGCCCTGTGTGATGCGAATTTAATGCTCCAGACGCAGGACAGAAACTTCCGTGTACAAATTATATATGATTTTAGAATATACTTACTTTAAAGTTCTTCGATTTTTATAGTTAGAAATTACAAAAGTGATTACAACTCAAAAAATCCAAATTTTGCTAAAAATTTATTACATAACTTTAACAAGCACTTATCATACTATTTCGATGACTTTCTAGAATCGATATTCTCGAAATGAACTAATTAATCGGGAAGATAGTTTAAAAACAACTACAGAATAAAAAGCTAAAAAGGCTAAAAAGTCGTTGAATAACCAAATACAAAGACGCGACAACAAACACATAGAAAAATTCGTGAGGTCCACTGGTTCGTTCCGTTGCTTAGTTGGTATAGCGTCTGGCACGGTATGCTAGAAGACTTCGGTTCGAATCCAGCCGGATCGAAGGAATTTTTTCTGAGTGTTCCATTTTTGTATTAATAATTATAACTACAGATTATCCAAAAATGCAAAACCGATGAATTGTATACCGATTATTTAAAACAATAAAAAGCACGGTGTATTTTTCATAATAAGATTTAGCTCACCCCGAGTGCAGCCGTATAATAAGATAAAAAATAAACTATTTTGGTTTAGGCCATTATTTTTGAAAAGCAGCGATTTATGTAGCTTTTTCAAAATGAAGCCGCAATTTAAGATAATCGAAAATTTCCTTAAAACGTCATAATTTTATTCTTCACTATTTCACGTTAGTAGCATTCAAAAATAATTTTGAAATATGTACAATATTCTCACAAAAATCTGCTGTTAATTCTATGAAACATCTACAATGTTCATGTCCAAGTATTGACTTACAATTATAAACAATGTGTCCAAGGTTTTCTTTTTAAATTTAGAACGCCTGCAATTTTAATGAAGCAAACATTTTACAGATACTTGATATAATATCAATAAGAAAATTTTGCTTACAACGAAATTCCAATATTTTATGCTGCAGACTTATCAAACATTGTTCCTAAACTACTTAACCAAATTCTGTTAAAAATGTAGTGAAACAATAACAACGAAACAAGAAATATAAAGAAATTAATACGCTGCTGTGATAAACTTCAACGCCTGATACTTTCCTTTTACTTATTACGTATTTATCAATAAAGAGTTTTTAATTCACATAAAACATTCAGGCTATAAAGTACATTGTTTCGATGTTTTAAATGTACGTGTATAATATACATGTGAAATCAATCAAAATATATTTACCTAAATAACAATATTATAACGAAATTACTTATGTTAATTTATTGGTAATTACAGTAAATCTTTAACAATAAATCTAATTGCATAATTAAATTAAATAAAACTGTACAATGTTTAAAGTGCGGTGACTGCATTTTCATGTGCATACATTTCTTTAGCATCAGGATTCGTTACCACATCTCTCTGTTGTTTTCTGTAGAATATGTATATGGTTCTGCAAAAAAAAATGTGCCAATTGTCAGCAATTTGGTCTTAAACTGGTGAGTTCGGTATAGTATGACTAGAGTAACGAAATTAACTATCCCAGAGCGATACTCTCGACACCCCGATCAGAATCAATTTGTTAAAGTTTGTTTAGACTAAGTGGCGTGGGTGAAAATGACGAAATACAACATTGGACGTTTATGAAACACAGCTCCTCCCAAAGTAAATTGGTCCTTATTAGCTTGGAACATAGTAAAAATGTAGTTTAATTTAAAAAAGCAAACGAATTATGGAAGTAATAAACGCACTAACAAAATATCGCACTTTCTTGCTGAACTCTCTTTGTAATCATCTTATTGTTTTTTTTTACATACTTATTTATGTATATACTCGTATATGTTATTTATTATGATTCATTATAATACTTATGTAAGTAATGGTATTTTTTTGTTTATGTAGTTTATTATATTTCTTTGTTACTCTCTCTTGCACGGTATCGGCTGCTTATAACCTTAGCCCCACTGCCCTGGGTTGGCTGGAAAAGATCTCTTTTAGAGATAAGTCCACCTTTGCTCACTTACTGTTTATCTAATATTTCTGTTGTATTTGTTTGGTGCAATAAAGAGTATATATTAATAAATGAGTACGATGGAGAGACTATTTATACTTATATAAAAACATAATGCCAGTCCTTCCATTTCACACGCGATGTATGTAATTTTATAAAGGCAGGCATATTTTATATTCATTTATAACGTTCAGCTGGTATTTCGCAATACCTAATACAGTATATCACACGGCTGTGTGTTACGGAAGGATAGTATTTTAAATATTTTAGATATGACATTTTTGTTTATGGAGACATTATTTTATTTTCATAATATTACAAGAAAAAAAACTGACTTCTTATATTTCATATTAAAGAGTAATTAATAGATGCCTATGTCCATGTAGGTATATAACATAAACTACTTCCAGGCTATTGATTAGCGCCATCTAGACAAAAGGCGGAATTTTGACCTTTTTCAGACTTAGGATCTTTAGTATATGCAGTTATTGGCCCATGGTTATGATAAGGGCACAAATGTAACTGCCGTTTACCATAAGGTGGACAGTGTGTTTATTCGGTTTGAATATCACATAATCTTAATACAGAGTACTAAAAAAACCGTCCTCCAAAGTCATTCATCCCCTAGTTTGCCACCCTTAGAGGTGGAATATTTTCTCCAAATTTAAATGGAGCCACTCCTAAGGTACACTCTTTCCAACAAAAAAGAATCATCAAAATCGATTCACAAATTATCGGAAAACAAAATTACCGGAGTTATCGCGTAACATGCATACAAAAAAACAACATAGGTACAGTCGAATTGAGAACCTCCTCCTTTTTTTTTTGAAGTACTGCATTCAAACACAATGTTACATAGAAGAAATTAATACTTGTAATTGACCATTACGAACAGCGTCATAAAAATACAAGTGTCTTTTTTTCACGTTTGGTCGGTTTGTTCCCAGATGAAGCAAGCACTTTTTAAAACTTTCACAATTTTCACACATTATTTGAATTATATCGGTACGTAATCGTGTTTAAATATATTTTGTTTACCTCGATGCTTCGGACGTATTGCAACGCCCATGATCTCGAGACAATGGACGTTGCAACACGTCCGAATCGTCGAGGTAATGAAAATATATTTACACAATTAAGTCGCGAAATTCAATAACTCTTTAAAATTCTTTGAATAATTGATACTGTATCAATTATTTAAAAATAAAATCATGTATCCATAAAGCAAATACTATCTACAATATTTAAAGTGTTATTATATCCCTCTGTGTCGCATAGCCGAGGAACATAAATACACAAAATATGAATTTTCTTATGTACACAAAAGCAACCCATTATCGCATTAACTTCAAGCAATAATTTTAGGCTTGACTTGTCACACTAAAGTTCTTATACATTGTCTCCATTCAATAAGGTCGAATATATGTGACCACAATGCTTCGTGAACTAGGCTAAGGGAACATAAGGGAGTGAATACAATAAATGCCTATGCAAACAACCTTGCTTATGTAATAGAATCCGCTCAGTCAATGTCTTTGCACAATTATGCGTGATGGAATTTGTAACTAGTTTTATATGATTATATATGCATGAAGGTACCTGACTAGTAAAATAAATGACGTGCTTACGTACGAATGAGCCATGGTAAGAGTCAAGGCCCATTATGTACCAAGTGGAGCGGGAAAGAAATGTGTTTCAATAGCATTTCATAGCAAGCAATAGTATTTCATAGACAAAGAAGCGTGGAGATGTTAATAAAACGAAACACCGATTGAGGAACAGATTTGCTTCGATTCGCTTTAGTAGACAATGGGGTTAACGCTCCCTATGTGACACAATCTGTTACTAGAATGTTCCTCAAACTACAAACGTCCAATAATAAATAATAAATAAATAAATATTAGACAACATTACATACGTTGCTCTGATCCCAAAGTAAGTAAGTAAAGAAAGCCCTTGTGTTATGGAAATCGGAAACAACGACGGTACCACAAACACCCAGACCCGCAACAATATAGAAAAGTTATTTTTCCTACAATGACCCGGGACCTAAGAGATGACGACCGGTGTGCAAGCTACTCTAACATAAAAGTCGTTATGAGTACAACGAAGTGGAAAGCGGCAGGATAGTAAAGCCTACTATAGTAAAGAAAAAAGAGAAACGAAAACCTTTGTAAAGCATTATGGACTATTATAGGTTTATTTTAGAGATGAATAAATTGCATAGTTTCAGTCAATATGAATCCTATAGTACTTATATATGCATAAAACGTACTCTTGGTAAATCCAATAAATCCAACTTTATGATATGTTTTCCATAAGCCACATTTTTTTTACGATACCAATAGTGACGGGACGAACAATTCGTGCGCCTGGTGTTAAGCGACACGCCTACCCATTGAAACATAAGTTGACAAATCCCATGAGCCTGTAATTTCACCAGCACCCTTACCCTTCAAAATCGAAACGCAGTAATACTTACATTACTGCTTGGCGGCAGAAATGGGTAAAGTGGCAGTACTTCCCTGGACGAACTCTTTCACGGGGAGCTCTACTGCTATATAGAGACCATATACGACAAAAGTGCCTTTACCACATGAGAATCATAAAAATCATGAAACAAATTAATAAAGATAATAACATTAAATTTGTTCCCACTAGAGTTCATGTTTCCGTACGTGAACTTTAGGGTTATAGTTGTTCCACGTACAACTGAGTACATGAAACTACTAGGAATAAAACAAATTTTATCTCTTCTATTGAAGCTTAAAAAAAATGCGATGCGTAGAAACTTACGATACGAAAAAATTACGATAACAATAACGCGCTCACACTCATAACCCCGTATTAGGGAAACTGAAGAATTTTGTGTTGTCTATGTTCGGCCACGGAGGCATTTAATAGCGTAACACACACACAAAAAATCGATCGAATTGAGAACTTAGTTAAAAAATACAATTGATGTACCACTCACGATAAGAATGGCCCAAAGCCTTATGTATACTTACATGAATATAAAGAAGTCGGGTATGGTCATAATTCCTCCCAAAATATAAAACATTCCAGGGAAAGTCTCCACTGTGTTGGCATACAATTTGCTGTATATTGGCGAATATACGGCTTGCGCCACAGCCTCCACGAATCCAATCAGGGAACAAATTTTACCTAAAAAAAGAAGAAATTATTTTGATTTTAGAGGTTTAGCGGATAGTGTGAATCAGGTGGTAACGATGATTTGGAAAGGTCATTTGTTTAATATCAAGTGACGGGACGTACAAGTAGTGTGACTGGTGATAAGGTACACGCATATCCATAGCAGTCGTAGTGCCACTCAGAGCGTTAAATCGCAAAGATCTTAGAGGCATTGATTTGAGGGGCACAGTGCCCGTCACCCTCAGACATACGTTTACAAGTCCCATGTGCCTATAATTTCACCAGCACCCTTACCCTTCAAAAAGGAACGCAGTAATGCTCACATTAGCTTGGCGGAAGAAATAGGTAAGGTGGCAGGGAAGTAACCCTGGACGAAATCCTTCACAAGGAGTTCTACTGCTACTAAATGTACAAAGGTGGAAAGGCAAAAACTTTTCAGGGTCAATCAACTTTTAAATGTCCTGTTCATGAAATTTGTAATTTTAATTTAATACACATTAATACACATTATTTATTTTATACGCTAGATAATCGATTCTTTTATAGAAATCACCGATTAGCAGTGCAAATATCGTGGCAAAAATTATATAGCATCTGTCCCCTGTACCACTAGTTGAATAAATTTTTTAATCATGTAAACTTCATTTAAAATTAAAACCAATACTTCAGGTTTACGAAATATGTAATAGCTTATAACTTTTTATATTTGTTGGGGCGGTATGATATATAACTTCAGTAATATGACCATTAACAGTGTCTCTTGGACAACGATTGTCCTATCACTCAGTGAAGTTATTCACTAAAATAGTAAAGTTTATTTGTTATAAAAAAACAACAAACAATTTTTTTTCATACTGTGTTATTTATCTCTTAAAGCTAACTGAAAATTTTTGTGCTTTATAAAAAAAAGATGGATAATGTTATTGTTAAACATGGGGACAGTCGGGTTGTCCAATAGACATATTTGGTTGTCCAAAGGAAATATTAAAACTTCTAATGCCTATATTTCGTGTTATTCCAAATGAATTTATGAAAATGGTCAGTCAGTTACATAACATAATATCATTCTTGCCATGAAGAAGCAATTAGAGACAAACCAAAGCACGAGTTGTATAAAATAATAATAGAAGTATTTAAGTGCATAAGAAGCAATCAACTTTATCTATTCATATATTCATCTATTCTATATATCATATTACAATAAAGGTAACTCCGAAGCATCGAGTATACCTCCGAAGATTATCAACATCCTTAAAACAATATTAGTCTTTTAATCAACTACTTACACAACTTATACTAAGTAAAGTACGTATCGAGTTCTTAGGTTTTCGCGATTGTTACACATAGGAAATGAAACTATTTTTCCGGATTTAAATCGCGTATGGTCACAGTTGATTCAACAACAGAAAAATAGTTTCATTTCCTTTTTTTTTTTAATTCATATGTAAGTGCGTATTTGACCTCCTTCTCACCTGTTGGAAAGTGACGATGAGGTCGACGATGGAGCATGCACACCTAAATAATGCCTATTCACTCTCGATTTGAAAAGGTCCAAGTTATAACGTTCAGGGAACAAGTCTGCAGGCAGTGAATTCCACTCCATAGCCGTTCGCCAAATCGCCATATAAATATGGAAGCGTAACACTTCGTGCGAATCTTTCGAGTATCCACAACGTAGGGGAGCAGTACTCCATACGACCGGACGTGTGCTTGATACAGGTGAAGCAACTGTCCCGATGTGAAGTAACGCCTCACCCTGGAAAGGATGCCAAGCTGCATTTTGGCCATATATTCAATTTATCTGCCGAAGTTAAAATTTTACGACAGGTCCATTCCAAGTAGCTGGAGACGGTCGGCTATCGGTATGGCTATATGACGAACAGTCGGAGTCAGCTCAAAGGGACTCCGTTTTGTGGAGAATAGACACGCCTGCATTTTGGTAGCATTAAATTTGACAAGATTGGCATCGCCCCAATCGGAGACGGCCCTGAATGTTAAATCCAAATGGCTAACTATAAATTCTCGACAAGATTGGATTTCCTCTCTACGGACCCTTGCATTGGTCAAGTAACGTTCCACAACTGTGCTGTCATCAGCATACGTATAAGTACCTGGAATTAACACACCATTGATATGCAGCAGAAAGAGTTTTGCAGACAGTACGGAACCTTGAGGGACTCCGGCTTCCGACCTATCGCCCGATGTTCGGAAGAGTAGTCTTCTAAGATCACTCAAATGGAACGTTCGTTCAAGAAATCCGAGATCCAATCGCAAAGGTTAGTGTGAAGCTCCATAACAAGGAAGCTTACTTATAAGGCTTACGTGCCAGACCCTGTCAAGGACTAGAAATGTTCAAATACACTGCAAGTGCTTCGTCTTCCTTTTCTATAGCCTCGCTCCAAATGTAATAGGCATACACAAGAAATCCACAGTAGATCGCTCTCGTCGGAATCCGTATTGGCAATCAGCGAGGAGGTCGTTGTCTTCTAGGTTCGACAGGAAACAGTTGTTGAGTACACGTTCCGTAGTCTTGCAGAGTATGAAAGTGACTGAGATAGGTTTATAGTTGATAGGGTCAGCTCTGTTTCCTGCGACCTGGAAACTACATCAGTCTCAAGTAAGAGGCGATACAGGCGTGTGAGAACAGGAGACAACTCTGGCGTACACAGTTGTGTAGGACTACTGCTGGAATTCCATCTGTACCCGTTAGCTTTATTCTAGTCAAGATTCCGCAGAGTTATAAGTACATCTTTTTGGCGTATGCGAACTGGCACCATAGTGCAGTCAGCCTGAGGTAAGGTAGGTGGTAGGTTCCCTGCAGCATCCAGACGCGAACTCTCTGCAAAGAGTGATGCAAAGAGATTCGCCTTCTCTTCTGCAGTATGGGCCAGCGTGCCATCCGATCTCAGCAGAGGTGGCAAAGATGGGCAATAAAAATTACTTTGGATCGCTTTGGCCAGGGACCAAAAGGATTTGCTACCTGCTGGATAAGAGGCAAGCTTGGAGTCTATGCGGTGCACATGATTATGATGACTAAGCCCTATGTAACACGCTGTTGCACTTCTTGACGGCTATATTAAAAGCTTTCTTCATATTCGGAGTACTCGGAGTTTTGCGCAGTCGAGCATCTGCCCATGCTTGGTACGCGTATTGTTTCTTTTCAGATATTCCTATTCTATAAAATAAATTCAAAAAATCATATAGAACAAGTATTTTAAATAAATGAATCAAGCAAAATTGTACTTTTATTATATAAAGAATCAAACTACATTAATTCGTCCTACGGACAACCAATAATGTCCCATGGACAACCAATTTGGTTGTCTAGACGACAAGTTGTCCAAAGGACTTTTTTTTTAATTTAAGCCACCTGAGCAAGAACTGAGGTTTTGTGTCTTCTATATCACTCTTACAATGAAACCAAGACTAAATAGAATCTGTTGCACCATAATTCTGTATAATATAACTATCTATTTACCTATTTCTTGTGGTGGTCCGAGGAACACACAATAAACCGAAGTTTTGAGTCACTCGGACAACCATTAAATAATGGATAATTTTGATAATTTAGTAAAGATGTTGGTTAATGATATATTTATTTTAGTATTTATTTTAAGAAAACCATACATAAAACAATTACAGTTTTAAAGAATTCTTGTTAGTGGTCTCACTTTGTCTGGGACACAATGAGTTGGTCGTCGGACAAAAACTTGATTGACCCTTGAAAACAATGATAAAACAATAAAATCAAATACAGTTCGGTTTAGAATTTAAATACCTACAATAAGTTTTTTATAAAAAAACGACCTAAAAAGTTTGCTTAACCGTTTTCGATGTGTTCGTAACATCTGTTTGCCAAATTTTATTGAAATCGGTTAACGGAAAATGCGTGAAATCTATTAAATCGGATTTATCATCAGACTTGCCACCCTTATTCAACCGAATTGCGAAACATCTCCTTTTTTTCAGGTCAGTTAACAATGACAAAATAACAAAATGAAATACAAAATTGAAACACAAAAATGAAAGATTATCAAAGATTTGTAAAGTTTCGCTTTATAAGAGATGGTAAAGTTTTGATGTTGATACGAATAGAACGCAACTCTCGTTTAGTTTTGGATTGTGTAAGTAGAGCTTGTGATTGTAGAATATACTTTCAAAAATAAACTGTCATCTTGTTCATAACATAAAGTAACTCAGTCAAACATTTACTAACCCTATGGATGAATGTCCGAAATAAAAGCTTTAAATTTGAATTTGAATTGTATTAGCTTCATAAAAACCTATTGTCTTTCATAAGCACACGAACTTTGAGCCTTTATAAATTGTGTGTAGGAAGAAAAACGTCATAATTTTTTTCAATCTCTGTCGGTGTCCTGTACCTATAATATACGTTAGCTAAAAATCTTAATCTAACCACAAATAATTTAGAAGCGGTACGATCGTTCTACCATATTTAGAAGGAAATCTTTTTTTATCAATTATCTGATGTAATCTTCGCTTCGAGAAGTCTGACAACATGCTTTTGAAACGCGGATATTTGAAATCTTATAAACATTGGCAAAAGTAATACAATGCAGAATTTTAATATTTTCCTATATATTGTGTACCTACTTGATTTCATAATGGTATTTACGATATTATCAGCATATTGCTTAGTTTTGAGTAATGATAGACAACATTTTGAGACCTGATCTTTGAAACTTTGAATTATGACGTAATAATTATTAATAACGAAGATTGAATGAGCAATTCGAATCGACGTCTAGCAAACCGTGTCTGACGCTATGCTAACTAAAATGGTGCATTCACTACTTGCATGTCAGTCCGCTGCGCAGGCAGGAGACTGCTCACTCACTATCCTGCTAGCCCACATGTGGAGTCTCGCAGGATGCATTGCAGGATCGCGTACATGCTGCGACTACATTCATAATCCTGCTATACGCGGCGGACTGCCAGGCGAACTACAATACAGGATAATCAATGCCCCTTTTAACCACGGAACGAACCAGCGAACCTTATTTTTCTATGCGCTCGTTGCATATTTTTGTTTTTGGTTTTTATGAAAAAAGTGTTGAATATCATGGTAGTGACATCGTGATATTCAATAAAAACTTGAAAATTCTGTCGTAATGTTAGAATCTCGATAAGAGTATTCATTTCAAAATCACTAATAAAAGTGTGTAGGTATTATAAAATAGATATTAATAAAATTTTGCGTGGATATATTGAATGAGTAAGCCCCACCAACTCCACAGATAGTAAAAGTTATTTCAACTTACGACACGACAGGCCACTTAACAGGGTTCCATAGTCATACTCGTATAAGGAAATCTACTAGGATAGGTATGTCCGTTTATGTACAGATGTATCACAGCCTTTGTACTCGGTCGTTTACCTATAGACCTATTGTAACTTTTGGTGTGTGATATATTGATGACCCGTAACGGAAATAGAAAAACGAAAAGGTAACAGAAAAAAAATCACCCATTGAGTACGGTGTTGTCGTTTGATAGGTCTTTTTTAAACATGTGACCTTCCTACTACTGTCGTAAGAGAGTCACGTTGTGTATTATGTAAAACGCTGGAGGAATTTAGTTTATTGACGGTGATAAAGCAAAGACTGACTAAAACAATAGCATGGTAATAGCAAAGTCTAATTCTATTTGTATCTATAATAAGACAAGTGAGTAAATAGTAGCAGGAGTAGAGCTTCCTGTGAAATAGTTCGTCCTGGGAAGTACTGCCACCTTATTTATTTCTGCCGCCAAACAGTAATGTGAACATTACTGTGTTCCGGTTTTGAAGGGTAAAAGTGCTGGTGAAATTACTGCCACATGAGATTTATCAACTTATGTCTCAGGGTGACAGGCGCAGTGGCACTGCAGTGTCCCTTGATATCATAAAAAAAAGCAAGAAGTACAACTTTCGAATGTTCAAAGCATCACTCGGAGTGTAGGGTTGTCACATTATGTATCACAGTATTCTCGTGCTACATTGAAATAGCCCTTGTCAAATGCACTACTCACATACTGACATTTTTATATCAGCACTGCGGATTGGCATCTTGATTATGGTATTATGATTATGAAATAGAAATGAAATGCTGAACAATTTTAAAATTTAAGGTACTCTTGTTAGAACAACCATAAATATAACAATAAACACAAAAAGCGAACGCTTAAATTCTATAATGAATGGTGTGTGCAATGATCCGTGCAGTGCAATTCGAGTGCACCGTGAGATTATGCGAATGCGTGCATTCGTACGCGGCGCGCGGCCGACGCTGCACTGTGATTCCCCCATAGGCCATAAATCAAAAAAAATCATTGGCTTATCCCGGTTAGATCAACTCACTAAGTTAGTAACTAGTTAACAAGCTTCCAAAAACTATAAATATCAATGTAATTAGGTCACGTTATCATTCACTTTTGTGCATCGGAAGTGAGCGCATCGCGAGACTAATTATCACCACGTGTGAGTCATCGAAACTTAATCACTTTGTTTTTGAGTGTCACTATTCCAAATCAAGTGTTTACGTGTTGTGAAAGCATGGAGATCCAAAAGCATGGTATGTACTTTTATTATCAATTTTTTTTAATTTTTTTTATGCATATTTTTTTTTATATAATTTTTTTATTGAAGGCAGTTTTTTGGTGAAAATTTTTGGCATAACTTAATTTCCTTTAGACCTACAACTTTTGGCTGCGCTGAGCTGCACCTGAGGTATATGGTTTTTGAATAAAGAGTATGTCCTTATTAAGAGCTATAAGTTTCATTTGCATCTTGCTGCCTCTTCTTGGCTTAAAGGGGTGTCAAAGTATGCATGTCCATAGTATTGAATTTTTAATTTTTTTTTAAGTTCAGCTTTCATATTGTTTTAGGTACATTTTTCAAATGTTCTGTATCGAGGATGACAATTTTTGATATTTGGCACTCTAAAGTGGGTAATCCAAATGAAAAAATGCAACACGTCCTGAGCACTTTGACCGAAACATCATCCCTTTCTGACGACATCGAAAATATTGATTTAGAGACTTTAAGCCTTAAAATTAAGAATATTTGTAAACGAATTTCCCACTACTGGGCAAAGTCGAATCGTACTAGATCTAAATTCTTAGAAAAATATTCAGATTGGCTGCATGTCGTTGAAAATATTGATGTACAGCGAACTGAGTTACGTGTATCTCAGAGCTTTGACGAAGTTAAACCATCAACTTCTTCATCGCATGGCCGTCCGAGAATTAACTTTGACGACACCAGTAAACGTACAAAAAGGAGAAGATTGGCTAGTTTGTCTAACCAAGACCCTTCTCTTGTACAGTCATTGCTCAATGCGTCCGATAGCTTGTCTTGTCCTGAAATCGATTCTAGCGAAGTTTTATCGCTCATTGTTGAAGCTCAGTTAACTCGACATCAATATATATTAGTAAAGAAATTTATAGACAATAAGTTTTCAAAAACCATTTTCCCATCTTACCAAAGTGTCGTGGAATCTAAAAAACACTGTTATCCTTCAGATATTACTGTTACAGAATCATCCGCCGAAGTCGAACTTCAAAGTTTATTAGATCATACTGCCAATCGGATTCTCAAGTCTCAAAAAGATGTTTTGGATAGTGTACCTAATGAGTCTCTAGATAAGATATCTTTGATAGGGAAATGGGGTTTCGATGGCAGTACAGGGCATTCAGAATATAAACAGTGTTTTTCTGACTCCACTCTTGAAGACAGTAGCCTGTTTGTTACTTCGTATGTGCCACTTCAGCTTGTTTTGACAACAGATAACAAAGAAAATTCAGTAGTTTTGTGGAAAAATCCTCGTCCTTCATCAACTCGATACTGTCGTCCTATACGCCTCCGATATTTGAAGGAATCGACTGCAGTGTCAGTTGAGGAAGAAGCTCATTTTAAAGATAAAATAAGGAACTTGCAGCCTACTGTTTTCAAGGAAGAAGATCGCGAATATCGCATTACTCATTGTTTGCAACTTACTATGGTAGATGGTAAAGTGTGTAATGCACTTAGTGGTGTTTCTTCATCAAAATGTTTTATTTGTAACGCCTTGCCCAGTGAAATGAACAAAATTGACGAATGTTTAAATAAGGAAGTCGATGAGAGTAAATATGAATTTGGTTTATCACCTCTTCACGCGTTAATGCGTTTTTTTGAATATTTTGTTCATGTCGCGTACAAGTTAGATGTTAGGAAATGGCAAGCTAGGTCCGCTAATGACAAAATGCTTGTTGCTGCAAAAAAATCATATGTTCAGACTCAATTTAGAGAAAGATTAGGGTTTATAGTGGATAAGCCTAAAAGTGGCGGAAGCGGAACATCAAACGATGGTAATACAGCCAGGCGGTTTTTCTCGAATTTAGAAATTTCCGCTGAAATTACTGGGATCAAGAAGGATCTCCTAGATCGTTGCTGGATCATCCTTCAATGTTTAAATTCGGGATATAATATTAATAAGACGAACTTCGAAGAGTTCGCTTTAGAGACGGCTCGGCAGTTAGTTGCCGAGTATCCGTGGTATAACATGCCTGCTTCCGTTCACAAAGTTCTAATTCATGGTGCTAATGTTATAGATTACGGTTTGTTGTCAATCGGAGAGTTGTCTGAAGAAGCAGCTGAAGCGACTAACAAATACATCAAGTCTTTTAGAAAAAATCATACGCGTAAAATGAGTCGCATTGTGACCAACACAGATTTAGTAAATAGGCTGCTTCTTCATTCAGATCCCTTCATAACAGGTCTACGAAAGTTACCTGTTAAAAAAAAAGGTGTACTGTCAAAAGCTGTATTAGACTTGTTATGTATTTAAAGTTAATATTGTTGAGATTTAATGTATTTTGGTATAATTTGTGTTTTGTTTGTATTTTGTAAAATGAACTTTTTTATGTATTTTTATTGTTTTAATTTATTCATTTGTGGTTATTGTTAATACAAATAATCATTATTTACACAGTTTTACCATTAAAAGTCGCAGTATAAAATGTTTTAGATACATCGTCTAAAAACAAAATTACTGCGAGACATTTTTACACCTAAATATTGTCAAATATTTTTTAAAATGTATAATTTTATTAATTTACGTTTACCTAATCATATTTTAACGTAATAAAATAAAAAAATAATAATAATTTCGGAGTTACGTATTTATGACCGCCTTAGTATGGAGCGTGAATCACCGTGCGCTGCTACGTTTCTATGGAATTACTCAGCTTGTCTTTATTATATTATGGTAAAAGTAACATTTTGTCACTTTCAAGCAAAAAGTTGTGTATGAAACCAGGACCATGACATATCACACAAAACATAAAATCCTTACCAACTTCTTCAGGCTCTACAACCTTTGTACCCAAAGATCTAATTGCAGTAACTCCAGAATTTCCAAAGATGTCGAAAGCCGGTCCTGCATAGAACCAATCTCGTGTCGGCGCAAACGCAAAGACGAAACTTGAAACGACTTTGCACGTAGTCGCTATAATGCCCAGTATTGCGTCGTGAAATTTGAGTAGTTTGCTGAATACTGTTACTGCTACCATTGTTCCTGAAAAGATATATGTAGAAAATAAAATAAATGGTACTGGTGGTAAACCATCACTGCTTATTTTCCCTTTATGAGATAAGCTGTGACTCCCAGTGTTGTCGAGGCTGTGTGTGTGTGTGTGTGTGTGTATGTGTGTGTGTGATCATCATTTTAAGAATACCTAAAATAAATAAGACAAATAAATAAGCTATAATATGCTACAAATATTATTTGTTTCTTTAATTTATAATTCTTAATACCGGTTATTTTAAAATGCAAGAAATTTTGTCTTTGCTGTACATGGTCCATGGACTAACATGGAGTGCGATATTGCACCGTGTTGATCTAAGTAGTAAATATTATAATATCATAATTGTGTTTGACAAATTTAAAGTATATTTATTTGTTATAAAATATACACCACCGCGCTTAAAGGGACATAGATATATTTACATTGTCTTGTCTTATAATTTCTATAATATATGTTATACTGTTACAGGTCTCTACAAAAGATTACAAATTCTGCCACCGCTAGCTAAAATGCGGCTATGGGACAAAATATTTTTTGATATATCATAAAACCCATTACCCAGTTTTAGAATACTGAAATTATTTAAAAATAGAATAGAATGTAATAGAAAAATATTTATTTATTATTTACACATTAAAAAAACCTATCAATTGAAAAAAAATTTGAAAAAACTAAAAAAACATTTAAAGGTATTTTAGCTAGGTATGCATCATTCCGATATGTCAAACACGTTAACTAATTTCAACTGTTCTTCAAAAGAGAATTTTGAGCTCTTCTTAGGCAATTTTGAAACGAATATTTGACCACTTGTCATTACCCGCGTTTTAGTTAGTGGACGGCAGAGTATTAACTCTTATAATACAACCGAGAGAAAGAACAACTGTTACTTTCCGTTGAACGTACACGATGAGTCGGGAACTATGTTAAGTACGTCTGCTTTAACGTCACTGAAAATTCTCATGCTGTGATAAAGTAAAAAAATGGCCCATATTAGTACGACTGTACGGGTGGCATGAGACGATCATATTTTACCACAATTTGTCGTTCGGGCGTCGCGTCGTCGTCGCCTTTCGACCATCATCGGTTGGATACGCAATAGGAAATTCGCAGGAAGCAGATGCGTTACTGACATGTGTCGAGCCCAGAGATGGGCAAACACCCGGGTTTTTAACGGTTGGTTCAAATCGGACAAAACCCATTGACGCTCGAAATCGCGAGCAAAAACTAGTTACAACTAAGTATTTGTTGTAATTCGAAATTCGTACAAATTTTAAGGCTATTATTACAAAATGTATATTAGTCTTTCTTTAGCGAATCGATCGCTAGAAAATTGCATTGAAATAAAACGACATAAAAAATCATTACTTTTTCGCGTAAAAAAAACTTTTTATGTCGAAATTTGTAATAAGTATGGAATTATATCAAATTCCGTATTCGCCGTTTTCGCCCAGGACTTCGCGCAGAAACGGCGCTTTGGGTAAAAACCCGTTTAAATGATTTAAACCTCAAAGAAAAGAGAAACCTTGATTGGGTTTTAACCCTTTTTGTACATTTTGTGGTTTTAAGCCACTGGTAGAGTCGCGCCACAGCAACCGTCTTCTTTGTTTTTATTACAAGGACTTAAAAGCTTTTTCGACAGGCTGAATGTAATTCTGTGTCGATATGTCGATGTGGTGATTCCCATACAGGAACCGAAAATGGCTTTTGCGCTAGCAAAATGGAAGCCTCTTTTTCGTCCTTCTACTTTAACCAGATCGTCGCGCCATCTATCTGGCGGCTGCGACGTTTACCTATACCTGGTCTTAAATTAAACATACAGTATATTAAAAACAGTAACACCTTAAAACTATAATAGCTAATTCTTAGAGATGAACAACATTGTTACAAACATATAAAAAAAACTTCTTTAAAAACTGGTTCCCAACATTACGTAATATTAAAAACAATTGTGATTGTGTTTAAATTATACATATGTCACTAGGAAGTTTGTTTATACCTACTGGGTTCTTCTAGCCAAATCAGAGAATAATATCACGGTCTAGTTTTCGTACAAAAAAATCTGCTTCAACAAACTGCCTCCGTGGCCGAACGGCTACTAAGCTGGATTGCCCCGCAGACATCCTGGGTTCGATTCCCGAGCCGGGAGAAATATTTGTATGCCTACATTTATTTCTCTCGTGAGTTTAGGTGTAATTTGTAGTTGTCTATGTGCGTGTCCATGGCACCTGCGATACAGGGTTTACTTAGTGTGGGACTATGAGTGTGTGGGTCATTATGATTATTACTTTTTTGTAGGTACCTAATTGTGTACATATTATACTTGATCGTGCAAATATATATGAAATATTTGTTTATTATACCTACCTACCTACAAAAAATATTTTGCTTAAAAACATCCTTTTAGAATCAGGCAAAAGAAAGACTAGAATTGATCTAAAGTACTTACATAGAAAGAAATTTCATATAGATATTTAGTGAAAATACTTATATTAGGTAAAACAGGGGGTGACCTCGGATCTCCAAAACGATTATGATTTTCAAAGTCAAAGATGTAAAGTCAATGCCAAATTTCTGTACCGATAAATTGGTCATTATAATGTTGTTTTTATTCAAAGTAAATAAATCTTGTCTTCTACTTATATTATGTTACTGATCTCAATCATTACAGTTTTGAAGCAACGCTGAAAAATTGTTTTCGATCGCTGGTTACAATTAAGGACCTAGATTTATTGCGATTTTCAATTCACCTAGTTATTATAGAAGAGAAAACCAAAATACAAGTATACACAAAAAATAAAAATAAAAATTTTGAAAAGATTTTTCTAAGCGATAAATTGGTAAACCTCATCTCAGCTCAGTGCTCGTTGAAAACTAGCGCCATAATCAATTATGGCTGTGGCATAAAGTGAATGAAGTCCTTTTGCGTACGCCACAACCATACATATGACTGTAAGACATTTATAGTCGTTCTGATTAGTTTTTTTGTTTCTTGTCTGTGTCGTCTTATTTTATTTTGTTTTTTTTTTTATATTTTAATTTTCTTTATTATGTCTTTTCATTTTGTTTTGCTTGTCTAAGTAGTATCAATATTTTTTTAGTATCTATGTGTTGTGGCATTGCAATAAATGTCTATTCTATTCTATTCTATTCTAATAGATAAGTAAAGATACTTCTTTACCGATGAAGTGAGACGAGCATTGACAGTCTTTATTAACTCTGGAATAACGGAAACACGGTTCACACGATTTAAGATAAAAAAATGTTATTTTGCATACAATTCGCGATGGTTAGAAACTTAAATCGCGAGATTTTTTATGGAAATAGGCCGGCAAAATTTCAATTCTCGTCTTGACTCGCCAGTGGAAAAGCACCTTAACCGCTGCTCAAAGATATTTGCGATTTAATATCAAATTAACGAGCCTGTCATGCACTACATGGCCGGTAATCAAGTGTTGCAGACGATGTGACCTCCATAAATGATTGCGCTTACTGGCTATATCCAGACTTGAACTATTCTCATAATGTAAGTATTAGTAAAGTGTACACAATGTTTACCAATTATTCCCATAACTGTAGAGTATGTCGAATAGAGACTGAAGTCAACAATATCCATATTGAATTTCTTGAGAGCGTAGTAATAAATGTTATTCCCCTCACCTGTAACAAAATAAATAACTTTGCTATAAAATTTGTAAAAATGTCTACGTTTTACACATTGACGTTGCCCTTTTAGGATTTCGCCAGTATCGGGTTTTCCATTATGCAATTTTATGGGTTTTCGTAGGTTCTGCTATTCTATGAGTATTGTGGGAGTACAATGAGAGATTATTTAAATAATTTGTGGTTTCATTTAGTTTTTGTTTTGTTTGTGATTTTGATTTTTAATTGTTTAACTGTCTTAAGTGTAAATGTTTTTTTAATTATGTTTTTTTACATTTCTGTTTTTCTTTTTTGTTATTGTTACTTATAAAGTCACAGAGATCGAAGATAAAAGCAGAATTAACATACTTTAAAGTTGATTAAAAATTTGTGGGGTTTTAAATGAACGGTGGAAAGTCATCATACTACAGTGATCCAGAATACCCATTGCCCAAGTATTCTGTAAAAACCAAAAGTTACAAATTGTTCATTATTGGAATAACGTAATACAAATAAACAAGTCACAATTTATAAAAACAATCTCTAATTTGGATTCAAGTAATTTAGTCGAAATATTAGCCATAATACAGAATATGTACGTATCGAAGAGAAACTCAGCTTCTATAATTAAGGTTCTACAAATAATTTATAGAACCTAAAAAGGGATTTTTTTTAGGCAGCAACAAAAAATATTGCAAATGAATACTCGCCTACCCACATAATACCTTTCACGTATATCTGTATAATATTGAAATACCATATTTGGACTTGAAAATATATTATATTAAAAGCTTTAGTAGACTTTGAAACATATTTTTATAGCTCCGAACTTCAATACAAAAACCTAACCGTTATTAGTTAAAGTAACCGTTATAAGATCTGTTACAAGATATTTTTTCCAGAAAGTATAATACAGATACAACTATAACTATACATATGTAATATATCTAAGCCTGAACATGGCACAATAATACTACTATCTGTCCACCCACATATTTTGCAATGATTACTATCTTATTAAGAATGTATAGGGGATCAAACACGTAATGAACAGGTTCATTTCTTTAATTCTTTTGTTCATTTATATACGGAACGAGGATTAAATTTTTTTTTCTTGTCTTAATTTATATCAAAATATCGCTGCATTTTTAAGAATAGAGGTAAAATTCAAAATAGTTCCATGTTCCCTTGTTACTCTTATTACCGAAATTTTTTACGGTATCAAGTGACGGGACAAACAAGTCGTGCTGATGGTAAACGTCACGCCTGTCCATAACAGTTGAAGTGCCGCTAAGCGGTTTAAATCGCAAAGATCTGAGGGGCACTGCCACAGCGCCTATCACACTGAGACAAAGTTGACAAGTCCCATAATAGTACTAACAATTCGTTTATTTGCTTAAAACATGGTATAACAAAAGATGTAACAAGGAACAGTGCCAGTACAAACATGTTTCGCATATATTAAATAGCATGCAAATGTCTAGTTATACAATGTCATTTAGACTACTTGTTTATATTGCCCCTCCCTATCAACCTCTTGGTTATGCGGGAAGGACAATATGACCTGTGCGAGCGAACCTGCACAGGGATCATCTAAGTCAGGTCCTAACCCCGGATCAGCACGTTTGCACGGATTTCATCCGGTTCTCTGTAGGGCAAGTGCCTAAGGACTACCACAACAATAAGAATATCACAAACATGTCAAGTTATAAATTAAATTTGTCAAGAACGATAAACATCGTGAAAAAATCTTACACCTCATTTTCTGCCAAATATTTCGTTTAGTCATAAAAAAATATTTTCAGTTACCAAGTGGTTAACTGAATTTTGTTTTAAATAAACTTAAGAGTAATAGTTTAATCTCAAGTGGTATTTTGTTATACAAACAACTTTTGCTGTATTTAGCAGTCATAGGAATATTGTTAAGTCAGTCTATTCGGATTTCTGCCAACTCTAGTATTCACATCACAAAGATACAACAAGAGTCTGCATGTTTCGTGTGGGGTAATTTGCTCTAAGGCATTTCTTTTGTGCTCCAAAAGTTCTGTTTCGATCTGTACTATTACCCCAAGCTATAAGACCGTAACGTAGTATGGGTTCTACATACGCCCTAAATCGCCGCCTTACTTTCTCAAACTCGTATCTTGAAGCACAAAGTTACTGAAATGCAAAAAATGGATTGTATATACAAATTTTGCAGGCTGATTTCACATCACATTTTCTTCATATTTACACACTAGCTTTTACCTACTCTTAAAGTAATGCATCCAATTTAACACCCTTGATAAGAAATTTAAAATAAATAGAAAGTTTTGCCATCTCCTCAATAATCACTCTTTAAAAGATACGAGTTTGACAAAGTAAAGCATTGTTATGTCGTTGTGACAACTTTCTTATGTATTGTATTTGGAGCATCACGTGAAAGAGTTCGTCCAGGGAAGTACTGCCACATAACCTATCTCTGCCGCCAAGCAGTAATGTGAGCATTATTCTGTTTCGATTTTGAAGGGTAAGGGTGCTGGTGAAATTATATTAAAAGTATTTGAAATATGCATGTTTAAAAAAACTTGTAGACTTTTGTGATAAGTTGAATATTATGAAACCAGAGCAACACGATTTCCAAAAGCGGAAATCTACAACATATTAGCAATGTATACTCTTATAAAATCAGAGAATATTAGTAATAACGGTAACTTAACTCCAGGACTATTCATTGATATTTCATAAGCATTTGACTATGTCTCACATAATTTACCCAATTTGCAATGGATGGAGTTATATTTGGCAAACCGTGTCTCCAAAATAACAAATAATAAATTATAAATAGGTAAGGTGGCGGTATTTCACAGGCAGCTATACTGCTACTAAATTCGTTCAGAAAATAGAAATTTTATTATGAATGAGATACGGAGCTTGTCATTAATTAAGTGCTTAAAATAATCACGTGACTATGTTAACACAGTCCACGATTTATGCAATTTTTGATAGACAAGTCTTAGTTTTCTTTAAATCATTTACCTGATGAATTAGATGCTTTTGAAATAGGAAACTATTCTAAAAAGCGTTAATAAATTTCTTATCAAACGTATCCTAAAAAAGCAAGTTGAACTATTGAAACAAATTTAATTTGTGTAAATCATAAACATTTCACACCGACGTACTTTCTTACATTTTGTTCCACATAAAAGAGGTTTTCGGTTGTGAATCCAAGTCAAACTCGCCCTTAGTCGGGTCATTGATTGACTTATAATAATATTTAATTCTAATCTACAACCATTAAATATATATAAGAAAATTATCTTACCGAAAACAGGTCCTATTATAACAATATGTGCCCAAATAACTAGAAGCAATTGAATTAGCCGTCTTCCCCTAGACATCACCACCAAAGAAATAGTGTCCCATACATTGTTTGGATGGAAAAACAATTTCAGCTTCTCTAGAAACGTTCCTTCAGTTTCAACTTTCTTAACATCATGAACTGTGAAGTATGTATATATGAAGCCAATAATAAACATTATAACATTGCTTCCGAAGATTCCATAATAACCAATAGCTTCTGTCAAAACTCCACTGATAGCTGATCCTATAGGCACAGATAATGTAACTATTACAGCGACTATACCAATTCTGAATGTACGATTTTCCAGATTTGTTACGTCAGCCATATAGCTATATGAGCCCATAAGAGCTATGGACAATCCGCCACAAAATGCTGGAGGTAATGCTTCAATCAACGCTGTGATCCATAACGGCCATTCTAGGAAATAATACGTCGCTAAAACCAATCCTATTGCGGATAGCAATTCCCCTATAAGAGGTATGAGCATCAAAGCTTTCCTGTTTCCAGTTCTATCGCTCCAGGCTCCGACGAACAAGATCATGAGAGCAGGAATACCGCTCTGTAAAGGTTGCTTCCAAGCTGTCATGTCTGCATTCATTACTGATGCTTCATTCAAAGCAGTTATAGTTATATTATCGTCTGCGTTGCCAGATATAACTTTGGTGCAAATTTCTTCTGAGTAGTTCAAATCTACACGGCAAGCCTTTTCCAAATTTAATTTTTGTACTGCTAGAGCTGATACAATATTTGGTAACACAAAGCATATTAAAAATGGTTCCACAGTAAAGAAAGCAAATGCCTTTCTTATGTAGTGAGGTAAGTTATTTATAAACTTTACTGTCTGTTGTGAAAATGTTAATTTCTCCCCTTTTTTCGGTTGTCCATTTTTGGTTGCATGTAATCCTGGTTTTTCTGGAAGTTCAGTTCCATTATCTTTTTCTTTCTTCATTACTAAAACACTTTATATAAACACTTCACTTTTAAACCGTCTCTAGCTAGCTATCGTTGCCGTGTATGTTTTGTGTATATATTCGGAATGCGACTGATCTCCGATTCCATCAGAGCTTAAGACGAAACCAGTTTTTTATAATTATAGTAACCGAAGATGTTTCTCTAAACAAGTCGTGATACTGATAAATATGTAAAGTCAAGGTTATGTTTACGAAAAAAATAAAATTATTTAACTTTATGTTATAAGTTTATAATAATACGTATCAACAAATAAATAGGTTTGAAACAACACATTTGGATAGCAAAGTATATGTTTATTAATTCCTCTTTTTCATTTGCAATAATTTCAGCTTATTATTATACACGTTGAATTATGTTTATTCTTCTGTTTACTAAATGAGATAATTTGAAACAAACAACATAGAGTAATTGAAAAGGAAAAGTTGTTTTATTTATTACATATCATATTATACTGTTATGGGAACGAAGTCTACGGTGTTAGGTGGGGAGACTCCAATTATGAATACCATATTATATCAAATGGTGGGGTTAGGCAAGAGTTCTGTTCAATTTGTACGTCAATGAACTCACGGAGGAGCTCGGGAGAGCCGCTATCGGATGCCATTTAACCAGCCGGTGTCTGCATTAAGAACCTGTGACGTGCCGACAACATGGCACTGTTGAGGCCTGCTGTCTCGGGTCTTGTTTCCACATAGTTATGAACGATGTGCTGCATCGCATAATAAAAAAGGATTGAAATGAAAGATTTTAATGAAGCCTGGGACGGTTCCCATTATTATTATATTAAATGGAACGGAATTAAACATAGTACAGAGTTTTAAATATCTTTTAGTAGCAGAAAGAGCTGCTTGTGAAAGCGTTCGTCCATGGAAGTACTGCCACCTTACCTATTTCTGCCACCAAGCAGTAACTTGAGCATTACTGCATTCCGGTGTGGAAGGGTGCTAGTGAAATTACAGGCATATGGGACTTGTCAACTTATGTCTCAGGGTGACGGGCGCAGTGGCAGTGCCCCTAAGATATTTGCGATTTAAAGCTCTGAGTGGCGATGCTACTGTTATGGATAGGCGTGTCGCTTACTACCGGGCGAATGACTTGTTCGTCCCTTCACTTGGTTACAGAAAAAAAAAACCTAGAACATATACTTCTCGAAAAACTGAATCAAGAGGTATAGTGACTAACCACAGCTTTGAAAAGCAATAATCGGCACGCCATGTGCCGATTCAGACCAAGAAAAACTAACTCAACTTTTTTTTATAGCCCCGCCACTAGGGAAATCCTGTATCGCGGGTGCCATGGATACACACAAAGACAACCACAAATTACACCCAAACTTACGAGGGAAACAAATGTAGGCCATATAAATTTTTAAAGATTACAGACATCTAAACAATTTCCTAATTTTGCCAAATATATTTTAAAATAAATAGGGAAAAAATTATTTCATATTTTTTAGTAAGGACTGATTTGTCGAGAACTAACCCACAAACAGTTTCATTTTAAGTAGATATCTTTTAATTGTTTCTTATAATATTCAAACGACGGTTTTATCGACGTGTAGAGAGTCAAATTTTATTATTATTATATAAAATTATAAATTTTATAATTTTATTTTATTAATTTAATTTGAGTTAGAACACTACTGTAATTTCAGTGCGATACGTAAAATAGTGTTGTATATTAAATTTATTTCGTAATTTTGTGTCAATATTGCAAAAGTAATGTATTGTTAAATTACACTATGTAAGAAATTTTCAAAAAACTTCTGTTTCTGGTTTGACAGTATTGGATTCTGTTTATTGAGCAACAATGTAAAAAGAGGAGTAGCTATACCCCTGAAATTTTGCTTTTGTGACTGTCACAGCCGTATTTACACAACTACCTACATGTATTTACATAATCACGCAAATGTACACATTTCCAGGTTCTTTTTCATCAATTTCAACCATGTGCACCAACAAGTTCGACCATGTGCGCCGCTTAGGAGCCAAGCTTGCCTCTTATCCAGCAGGCAGCAAATCCTTTTGGTCCCTGGCCAAAGCAGTCGAATCGAACTTTTGTCGCCCATCTTTGCCACCTCTGCTGAGGCCGGATGGTTCGCTGGCTCATACTGCGGAAGAGAAGGCGAATCTCTTTGCCTCACTCTTTGCAGAAAATTCGCGTCTAGATGCCGCAGGGACCCTACCACCTACTTTACCTCAGGCTGGCTGCACTATGGCGCCAGTTCGCATACGCCAAAAAGAGGTACTTAGAACTCTGCGAAATCTAGACGTGAATAAAGCTAGCGGGCCAGATGGAATTCCAGCAATAGTCCTGCGTAACTGTGCACCTGAGTTGTCTCCTGTTCTCACACGCCTGTACCGCCTCTCACTTGAGACTGGTGTAGTTCCCAGGTCGTGGAAGCTTGCAAACGTGCAACCTGTACCAAAAAAGGGAAGCAGAGCTGACCCTGTCAACTATAGACCTATCTCAGTCACTTCCATACTCTGCAAGACTATGGAACGTGTACTCAACAACCGTCTCCTATCGTACCTTGAAGACAACGATCTCCTCAGTGATCGCCAGTACGGATTCCGACGAGGGCGATCTACTGGGGATCTTCTTGTGTATGCCTGTCACATATGGAGCGAGGCTATAGAAAAGCAAGGCGAAGCACTTGCAGTGTCTTTGGACATTTCTAAAGCCTTTGACAGGGTCTGGCACGCAAGCCTTTTAAGCAAGCTTCCCTCTTATGGGCTTCCCACTGACCTTTGCAATTGGATCTCGGATTTCTTGAGCGAACGTTCGATTCGAGTGGTCTTAGAAGGCTACTCTTCCGAACATATGGCGATAGATGCCGGAGTTCCTCAGGGTTCCGTACTGTCTGCAACTCTCTTTCTGCTGCATATCAATGATATGTTAATTCCAGGTACCTTTGCGTATGCTGATGACAGCACAGTTGTAGATAGGTACTTGACCAATGCAAGGGTCAGTGGAGAGGAAATCCAGTCTTGTCGAGAGTCCATGGTTAGCCGTTTAGATTTGACACTCCAGGCAGTCTCCGATTGGGGCAATGCCAATCTTGTCAAATTTAACGCTACCAAAACGCAGGCGTGTCTATTCTCCACAAAACGGAGTCCCTTTGAGCTGACTCCGACTTTTCGTGATATATCCATACCGATAGCCGATTGTCTCCAGCTACTTGGAATGGACCTGTCGTCCAATTTGAACTTCGGCAGATACATTGAATCCACGGCCAAAAATGCAGCAAGGAAGCTTGGGATCCTTTCCAGGGTGAGGCGGTACTTTACACCGGGACAGTTGCTCCAGCTGTACCAAGCACAAGTCCGATCGTGCATGGAGTACTGCTGCCACCTTTGGGATGGCTCTGCGACATATCAACTGGCCACTTTGGATTCAATTGACAACCGTGCCAAGAGGCTTATAGGTGACTCGGAATTAGTGGAGGCGAAGCTGCAGAGCCTTGAACACCGCCGTAAAGTTGCCTGCTTATCGGTATTTTACAGGATATATCACGGAGAGTGTGCGATGGAATTACATGATTTAATTCCGCCTTCCCCTTTCCATCACCGGGGGACTAGGCGTAGGCTTGGGTTCCACCCCTATGTTGTGGATATTCCAAAGATTCGCACGAAGCGTTACGCTTCCACATTTATATGGCGAACGGCTATGGAGTGGAATTCCCTGCCTGCAGACTTGTTCCCTGAACGTTATAACTTGGACCTTTTCAAGGCGAGAGTGAATAGGCATTATTTAGGTGTGCATGCTCCATCGTCGACCTCATCGTCACTTTCCATCAGGTGAGATGGAGGTCAAATGCGCACCTATATTTTGCCTAATCAAAAAAGACGGAAAAAAAATTTCTAAATTTGGTTGAAATAGCCTCTCAACGAAAGGCCGTGGGTTCGGATTGCTCGCTGAGTTTCTCGGGATTTATACGCGATTTATTTGAAATTTACCTATTCCTGCCGTCAAACAGTAATGTCAGCATCACTGTGTTCCGGTTTTAAAAGGTAAGGGTGCTGGTGAAATTATAAGCACATGGGAATTTTCATCGCCCATAAGATTTTTGCAATTAAAAGCTGTAACTGGCACTGCAACTGGTTATGGTTACCAGCAGGCTCACGAGTTGTTCCTCCCGTCACTTGGTGCTATATAGAAAAAAAAATCACAAGTTCCACTTATAAATCCCAAAATAAACGAGAATTTTGTTTTAATCATCGAATATCATAACTGTACCGTTTCCTTTATAGCTAATCTTTATTTTTGTATTTTAATTCTGAATTTTACGATATTCGGTTTGGTTATTTTATCATTATTTTAACATGCCGTTGTCTTTCTTTGTACATTTCGTATTGATCTTTATTATTCATCGGTTGTACGTTTCGTATACAATACATGGTATCATAAAAAAATGTGACTAATAGACCTAGGGTACGATATAGCGACATGGACTTCTGTTTTTTGTTTGTAAATAATACCCATCTGATGGGTGTTTGTATTTATCATAGTTTTTGTTTCCGTTGCTTTATATAGAAAAAAAGTGACACTTCTGTATTAGTATGTAGGTATTTATTACACTTTTGGCACTCACACTAAGCATTTAGTACAGAAATATCCGTTTAAAATCGAAAACGTGCTGGTAAAAGTTGTTTTACCAGCACGTTTTCAAAGAAAAAATATTATCTTTTTATATTTTTTCTTAACACGGGCTTTGGCGGCAAGTCCCGATGCCCTGTTATATGACCATTTAAGTATCGTTGGTTGTTTGTCAACTAATGCAATTTTAAAATGTTTCCTAATAAATTTTGTCGACACTTCAGTGTGTAATTCACTAGAACAGACCCAATGAGAATTGGACAATGATACCCTAATCAATTACACGGACATGCATTAACAAGTCGACAAAATCAACAATCAAAATGTCACACGTGATATCAGAAATGACCACACTACAGAATTAGGTAACCTGAAATGACACGTCCAAACAATTGTCCATAAAATGTTACAAATACCAACTTATTGTGACACCA